CCTTCTTGGTCACAGATTTGAAGGTCTTCGCCTCCACCCACTTAGTGAAATAATCAATAGCTACCAGAATGAACCTGTGCCCATTTGACGTTGCTGGCTCGATCGGCCCAATAACATCCATTCCCCAAGCAACGAACGGCCATGGTGCCGACATTATATGCAATTCAGATGGTGGAGAATGAATCAAATCTCTATGTACCTGACATTGATGACACTTGCGCACGAAACTGATGCAATCCTGTTCCATAGTAACCCACTTCATCTAATATTAAAATCTTCAAGTTGAAAAACATATATTTGGAATTTTGGAAGAAGACTTTAAGAAAATCTGTAAAATTTTAATTTCAGCAAAAACTACGAAGTGCAAAATCCGAGCAAGCATGAGATTTTGACAAAAAAGTGATGAGAGTACATGAAAAAAAGGGGTCAACTAGATTTCATAGTTTATTTAAAGAGAAAGCTCTAGGATTTTGCACTTCAAAGGGTAAAGGGAATGTTTTCCACTAGATTAAGCTAGCACTGAGAAAACAAATCAAAAGGCAAAAAGGAATGGGTAGGTGGTAAAATGTTTCGGCCGAATAGGTAGGTTTTGTAAAAAGCTTTCATATGGGTAATTACGGGTAATTATTTTGGATTGTGTGGGCATTTAGTATAGATTTCTCGCATAAAATGGGGACAAAAATTTAAGATCATCTATTTTAAGGGCTATTTGTGTACTTCATCCATTAATGGGTGACACTCAAAGACTTGTTACTTTTTGAGCCAAGTTAGGTATCTTGACCCAGTTTTGCTCATCCCAACACCCGTACAATCAGAACCAGGTAGCCTCTATATGGCAAACTTCAACGGGGGAAGTGCACAAATAGTCATTTTTATGATTGATATAATTTTAGCCAATACTTATTTTGTCCTGTAATTTTTAACTAAAAATCGTAACGTCGGGACAATTTAGGACATTTTTGTCCTGAACATTAAACTGAAAACTGAAATTCGCGCACTGGTTAATTCCTAAATAGCAGCTAAAGCCGTCAAAATGGGCTTGGCCCGTGAGACCAGCCCAACTCAGCCTGCTACTTGGTAGGGTTGGGCTAGAATTTTTTGAGCTCATTTAAAACTCAGGCTTATAAGCCCATCCCAAGTCAGTCCGCTGGCCCTTGAAGCTTGACTGAGGCTGGACCTATGCCGGTCCATGAGCCAAAAATTAATTAAATTCAAATTAATTAACTATTAAACATTTAATATTTTAAAAAAGTAAAAATTATTAACTATAATCCCAATTCCCCAACCCTAGATTGCTCATTTACCCTTCCATATCAACTAGAATATAGATTTTTGACATGCATGTAATATGACAAAATTAGTTTTTTCTTTTGCTTAATTAATAACGAACTCGTAAAGTTTTAGGTGGCCAATAATAATCTTTTTTCAAAAGAAAATATTACTTTAAGTGGTCAATGATCTGTTTGGATTACTTTAATATATTATTAATATTTAAACTGCTCTTCAGTATAGAAAAAGATCAATTTTAAATACACAACAAAAAAATTGACCACTAGCAAATTTCAGGAATTTCAAAAACTTTATGGACTATGATGATGAAATCAACAAATAATATTAATCCTAAATTAAAAAACATCATCATATTAACTTATTGAAGCAATCTCTCAGTCTATGAAAAATTAAAGAAAAGCATTAAGAAAATATTCATGTAACTTAAAAAAAAAAAAGATAGAGATATAGAGAATTTGCATTTCAATTACGAGATTCCTCGTCAAATATCAAACTTTTTGTACTTTCTAAGCAAACAGATGTTGTTTACATGATTAATCGACTATGTCACGAAAAAATATTTAAGAATTTAAAGAAATTATTTTTTCTTAAAAAAATTGAAAGACCGACGCGCCCTAGCCCGTGGCCCTCTTAAGGCTGGCTTGGGTTGCCCATCTTAAGGAGAGAAATTCAAAAATAGCCAGATTTACCACTGGTCGTTGAAAAATAGCCAAGTTTTAAAAGTCATCGAAATTTAGCCACTTTAAATCTGAGCGAAAACACTGTTCAAAATCCGAAAAAATACGCCCGCAAATTTTACGGGAGTTCCAGCATAAGTATGCTTGAACTCCCGTAAATTTTACGGGAGTTCCAGGATAACTATGCTGGAACTCCCGCAAATTTTACGGGAGTTCAAGCATAATTAGCTGGAACTCCCGCAAATTTTACGGGAGTTCCAACAAGTATAATTGTCCAGTATAATATACTGGAGTTTGGAGCACTGGTGCTCCAGTCTCCCGCAAATTTTACAGGA